CATGGAGGACAGGAAGGTGGGTGGGGAGGCAGTTATTGTTTGGAGGGAGAGTCACCCTCCCTACTGGAAGCCACAAACACGGGTCACAGCAGGGAAAATGGCCACGGATCCTGTTTGTCACCCCATGAAGAGTTTGTGAACGGAAGCAAAATTTTGCAAACGGTGCTGTTCGTGAACCGAATTGTTCGTGAACAGAAGCGTTCGTGAACCGAGGTACCACTGTATATTCATGTAAGTTTCCTTTCGTTCAACTTTCCCAAGATTCAATCCAATCAGTATTTCAACATTTGAAGAACTAGTTAGCCCCCAAAAATACCACTTCTGTATCTATCTATCCATCCAAGTTTATCCAGATTTGGTTAAACAAAACTGAAGAAAGAAAAGGAGACAACTTTTCTTTTCCTCCTTATTTCTCTCAGTGCTACTGATTCATATATATTCATAGCTTTTTCTAAATCTATTGTAAATACTAAATATTTAAACATGCCCACAGACACACACACACATATATACTGTACATACAAATATACATACACATACACACACATATAATATACATACAAATGCATACAAACACACACACACACACACAGAGGGGGTCTCCAAAGTCTTAGTACAGTTTTAAGCTTTTAAAGCACTAATACTGTTGTGTGTGTGTGTGTATGTGTCTTTGATGTGAAGTTAGAATAGTTTAAAATGAAAATGTATCAGTCTAATAGCTTGGCAAAAAATCATTGAGAAAATGGTGCACTGTCACCTTGGTTTTACCTTTTCAACAAAGTACATGACACCTTCATGACCTCGTTCGTATGGAGGTTTCCAGCTAAGTACAATATAGTTCTTTGTCGCCTCTGTAACACGGAGGTCTAATGGTGGTCCAGGAACAATACCCTCTGCATGAAGAAGAGCAAAAAAAAAGAAGGAAAAAAAGAGGTTTATTCACCTTTTTCTCCAATAAGAGCCCCTCTACATGCTGTATTTGCATTGATCTAGCACTAGTGTTGTGTTATTTGGCAGCTAAGAACTGGATCAACTGTGATGCAGCTCAAATTGCAAAACTGTTTTGCTACCATGATACTGGAATTTCTTGGAGCTTGGGGTACACCATTTTCCCACTTTCAGGAATTTTGTGTCACACTTGCATTCCCACTTGAACTCAGAGCTCTTTACTAGATTTCACACGCAATCTTATCAGCAAACCTGATCTTAATCCTACTATTCTAATCAGTTTTATAAGCCTTGTAAAAAACTGCTGAGCTTGATTTTCCCTGTTTATATCAGCAATATATACCAAACGTAGCCTCTTCCTATTGTCTATCATCTACAATTACTCTCTCTCTCCTTATACATACACAGAGGTTCTATCCTACAATTTACAACCATAACTGCAACTAGTAGGAAAAGCTCCTGGTTGCAAAATTATAGCATCCTATATAACATTATAGATTTCAATGAGAATTTAAATCCAGGAATGATATTTTAATACTCAATTGAGTTTTCCTTCAGACCAACAGCTCAAATTGTTGTTGTTGTTGTTATTGCCAAATAAATGAACATAGCATGAACTGAAGATATAGGGCTACAACTGAAAACTAACAATTATTCCATTTCGGCAACGGAAATGGTGCTTTTCTACTTTCTACATAAGACAATTTTTGTTACTCTAGGAGCTTCTATCAACATCTGACTGAATTGCAATTTTTCCATTCTTCCGTTGCTGAAATGGAGAAAACAGATTGGCTCATGATGATCCCTGCCTGTTCTCTGTGGTCACAAGGCCAACTTCAAAATGCTTTGAGTGTCTTAAGCTACTACTGAACAATAGAAGGCAGATGACCCTGCAAAACTACTGAAATGTGTTCATGTGGGCAATCAACCAGAGATTAGAAAACTTCAGTTTCAGAAAATTTATTTCCTTAAGATAAAAATAAATAAGCATTTTCAGTCCAACAACTAAATTTGTTTATGTGGCTGGGAACAATATATTTCAAAACTTAAAATTAATAACTAGGTATGTACAAAATTTACCATTCCAGAAACAGAACATTTCTGAGAATTCTGGAAGATTGCTTTTATGCTCCAGGCCAAGCCAACCTGACCATTCTGGGGGTGGTCTGATGACTTTCTGAAAGATAATCCTCTGAACCAGTATTGGTTTGTGGTGTTGCAGATGTAGTCCAGCTCTCAGAACATGCCCTCAACACCACAAATCATCTTTGGAACAGTCAGATTGGCATGGTCCACAAGAGAAATAGAATATTCTTGGGAACGTTTTAAACATTTTAAACAGAATGTTTTGGGTAAGGTTTTGCATGTCTCTTCTCACAATTATTCCCTGATTAAAGCTATATTCCCTGATTAAAGTACAGTACATAGATAAGGTTTCATGTGAGAGACAAAGACAAAAATGGTGTGTAAGCTGCAATGCAGATATGATCTCAAAATAAAATATTAATTTCTATACAGAATAATTGTATTACCTGAAGGTTCCTCCTCAGTGACAATAATCTGTCCAGTCCAGGGGGCAGAAGGATGACCTAAACATATTAAAAGTGATTAGTTAGGTTAAGTGTTGCCCCTTACTTGCACAATTATTTAACTTTCTTTATTGTAACCAAAGAACCTTAACAATAATATTTCAGTATGGAAAATAGAATCTGTTAAAGCAATAAAGTCAGGTTTCTACTCACTTCTCTGACTCAATTCCAAACTGCTGTATACACATATCTCAGTCACACATAGTAATTGGAGTAGAGAAATGAGTTATCTCCTTCCATTACCTACATATTTTCTAAAACCAGGCTTCTCCAAATGTATTGGATTGCAACTCCCATTATTTGGGCCATCCTCGTTCCCACAGAAAGATTTCAGATGCCTCAGGTCTTAATACATTGTCTCAGAGCAAATACACTCACAATCTTTTCTAACCTTGGGAGGTCCAGATGCGCTAGACTAGAACTACCACAACCATCACTGGTCATGAGTGCTGGGGATCTGTAGACCAATCCATCTGGTAAGCCCCGAGCTGGGAAAGATTCTCAAAGGGCTCATCCACACAGTCTCTTTGCGCTAGTTCTGAATTGGCTGACTTACTGTTTCTTGAGGACACATTCTCACAACAGAGCCTCCATCTTAATGCCAGCATGCTGAGACAGACTGAAGATGTATCAAGGTGATCCAGCAGGAAACAGTGTCATGCATCAGGAAATAGAACCAGAACTGCTATGTGAACATTCTGTATCATATAGTAGGAGTTTTTGGAGGGTTGACTACCTCCTGGGCTCCAAATGGCCTGCTGCAGGAACTTGTCTTTCCATCTAACTGTGGGGCTTTGTACCTCTGCTTTAATCATGGAGAGAACAGATCCTTGACTGGTGTCTATTTTCTTTTTATATTTGTGTTTCATCAGGGGAACATCAACCTCACAGAACACCTCTCCTTTGGTGAGCTCCTTGCCAAGTTATGTGGGGAAGGTAGGGAGAGGGGGAGAAAGGAGTAAAGGGAAGATTGATTCTAGTGGCCCTTTCACAAACAATGCTTTGTCTACAAGCCAGCCTTGCAGGGGCTGCAGATTGAGCAGATATTCAATGCTTTGTTGGCTGGAACTGCCTGGTCAAAAGGAAGAGGGTGCTGGGCAAGGCAGTGAGGGACTCCCTCACCAGATGTCATGCCAGAAGGATGAAAGGAGGAGGCAAGTACAATGGAGACTGCAGTAGCATCAAGGCAACCCAGGAGGTGGAATAAAGAGATCACCCAGATGTGCAGCCACTGTCAAGGAGGGTTGTCAGCATCCAGCCCTGTGCCAACAGCTGTTCTCACAGTAATTTGTTTCTCAGGAATAACAGCAGTAGTGAGGGAAGCAACATTACCAACCATCTTCCCAGGAGGAGTTAAAGGAAACACTGTGAGGTCAGGGTGCAATAGTGTTTGGGCCAACATACTTTCTTCCCATTTAGGGATAGGAGGAAAGCCAATAAAAGTGAATACGTGTAATTCAGGGTTGAACTGTGGAGTCCTTGGGGTTCTCTGGGCTTGGTTGTTTTCTTGCAAACATTTTGTTACCCAGCTAGGTAACATCTTCAGTGCTAGAAGATGTTACTAGTTCAGTGCTAGAAGATGTTACCTAGAAGATGTTAAGTGCTAGGAGGAAAACACATTTAGGGATAGGAGGAAAACACAGCTGCAAGGATTAAGCTAAACTCAAGAATTACAGTGGTAGGAACTTATTGGGTCAACAGAGCTTAAACCATCCCCTTCACAATACATGAGTAAATGCTCGCTTTTAATGGCTAGTAAAAAGGCTGGCTTAGATGTGGTGTCTCAAAAATGTCACTACAACTTTTATTAAACTGAGTTCTAAATTTAAATAAGTACTTATTTAATATATCTGTCAATCGTACTAAAGCAGACCCTTGTAAAATAATACATCCTTGCCATAACAGGATTGGAAAGAGGGTTAAAAATGATTGAGATATTGTACATTGATTAAAAAAACTTTAAGAGAATTAAGAGCAGTTTAGCATCTCTCCAATTTTGCGTAAGCCAAAAATGTTAGAAAGTTTATTTTTTATTAGGTCTCTAGTCTTAGAGGGATCCTTGATAATACTTGGTAGAAGAAGCCCAATGATGGCTTTAGATTAACTACATTATCTAATTTGGACAATTTCCTTGACTATGAAATCAAAATACTGATGCTGAAGTGGTAAAAACAAGACCATTAATGTGGATGGATAAAATGTTTTGCTAAAATGCTTTAATACAGAGCTCCCATTCAAAAATGTACTTATGAGAAAATTATATCACAGAGTTTCTTTGTGGACAGTGTTCTAGTTCTGGTTCTGGTCCCTGTACTGGGTATTTCAGATAATACACAAGCAGTGGTTGCAAAGAAATGTTATAAAAAATACAAAGGTGTTTTGTTCTCAGCAAATCTTATTTTGATTAATGAAGACTTTGCTTTATTATTGCTCCCTCTAGTGGAACGTTCTTAGACTTTGTTCATATCTTCTAAAAATTAAAATTTCAAACTTCTTGATGACATATGTTATAAAGTCTCTTACTTTTAAGTCTAGCCCTATCAGCAGGATCTAATGCTGCCACAGGTTCTGAGATGCGGGACGGAATGCTTATTCCAGCATTATTCACAGCCCGAACACGGAATATATAGGAGCGCCCTTCAATTAATCCTGTGACAGGGAAGCGAGCAAACTTCACTGGTGTTTCATTGCATTGTGACCAGTGCGTGGTACCAACTTCACATCTGGGGAGGAAAAAAGCAAGAAAGGCAAAATCACATGGAAATAATGTATGCACTCTCAGTTGTTTCCAATACTTGCTTATGTTTGCTTTAATGCACCTGTTTGCTTCCTCTTCCTCATAAAAACTGCACAAAGTTGGAATCCAGTAACTATTTTTTATGACCACTGAGCGTAGATTTATTGTCTATTCATAAAGTAAAATGAAATAAATACATTTCAAAGATCTCCCTAAATTTAATGCACTGGAAAAGATACAGTTCTTATGTTTCCTTCTGAGTATTCCACAGGTGTATAAATCCTATGTCTGCCAGGGTGTTGGATTATAAAGGTCTGATCCAGCATGGTGAAAGGTAGTAGTTACAGGGTTCTATTCAATCCTCATCCACTCTTAATCAGACTTATTTAGGTGAGTTCAGTCCACTCATTTTACTTGGGATTTTTACACACTGGCTTCTTTTCATGTTCATGCTAAAAATGAAGGACTGTGTCAATGTTCCTACCCTAATCTCTGCATATCACCAGTGCAGCTTCTTTTCACACATTCAGTTTATGTACATAGCTGTTCTTTTTCAAATATTATGTTCAATGTGTAAAAGTTCAAAGGTTAGAGTTTCTCAAACTTCAGTTTGGGACCCTGAGGAGGGTCACAACTGTTTCTAAAATCTGATGAGGCTTATGAAGGCAAAGTGGAAGCATTGTCTATACTCACTCCAGACTTTGCTTCCACTTTGCCTGTGCAAGCCTGCAGTGGGCAGCTATGATACAACAAAGTTTGAAAACTCTTGTGATAAATAGATTAACATTTAATTATTAAAACTAAATGATATATTTATTTTTTTCCAGCTTTAATCTCAGTTAAATCATTAGCTTTGTTCATAAGTGAGAGGCATCACATAAGTTCATTTATCATTTTATGTGGCCACAATACAATGAAGTTTGAAGTTTAGAGTCACTGGGGTATCTGGAATGATGTGATAGTGAATAGTGAAATTCAACAATACAATAAGTGAAACAGAGAGGAAAATATGTTAAAATACTTAAGAGTATGTATGTAGGGTTTCCTTGGCATGTATGATTACATGTGTTACCAGTATAGTAACTCATATTCTGGAATATGTGTTCACTTGAGAAAATAACAAATCTGATATTGTAAGAATCAGATATACTGAAATTTTCCTAACCCAGTTTTCCTTAAATCATATTATCAAAGAGATTACTTGTCATTTCAGTCTAGCATAAATACTAACTTATCTATGAAATATCCTAAAATGGGATGTCCACCATCAATAGCTGGTTGTTTCCAAGAGATGATGACATAATCTTTGTTAGCATCCAAACACTTCACATCTAAGGGAGAACCAGGGACTCCTGGTATATCAGCTTCAGCATCTACATGGAAGGAGACATGCATTAAAAAATCTGTTAGCAAAATAAGTTCTGTTACCTTATTAGTACAGTTCTAATTTTTCACTAATTTATCCATAACTGGATGTCATATAAAAGCACAATCTTATTAAGAATATGAATATAATTTATTTCTTTTGATTTCACACTTCCTCCCTCAATGCGCCCATTTAATCCTACAATATCCTTCTAAGTACACTAGACTGTACTTGTAAAAGTACATTCATGTACTTGTAGAAGTACACTAGTAACACCTGCTTTTAGAACACATAAAGAACTTGATGATTAGGTGGGAATTTGAGCCTGTTTCTCTATTACTTCCCTGCAGTTTAATTATTATATATTCCATGCTATATTTTAATAATTCTTAGACTTGGATTATGCTCTCTTTGATTTTAGGAAATGAACCACAGAAATATAAGTTATTACACAATTTTTGAAAGGCCAAACTATTAAATAAATAAACTAATATTGTGCCTTTGAGTCATTGTTGACTCCTGGCAACTGCCTGGACAAATCTTGCCGTTTTCTTGGCAAGATTTCAGAAGTGGTTTGCCATTGGCTGCTTTCTAGGGCTAAGAGAGTGACTGGCCCAAGGTCACCCAGCTGGCTTTGTGCCTAAGGCAGGAGTAGAACTCATGGTCTACTGGTTTCTAGCTAGTGCCTTATTCATTACACCAAACTGGCTCTCTGAAATCAATATAGGAAGCATGATTATGTAATCTTATATTCATTTGGAACAGAGTAGTCTTTGCATATAGTTGTTTTCCACATTTATCAATAGAGTACAAAATTCTCCCCTTCCTCATCTTTCCAATTACAAATCCCCTAAATTCTAGATACTGGTGATTGCATCCAGCAAGCATACTATATTGCAATAGCACTAGGCTGAGGGAAGTTATTATAGCATCATGTCTCTCCAAGATAGAAAAGGCTTTTGGAAGTTTTTTAGTGAAAAATGAACATTTTTTCAAGTTTTGAGTGAGATTTTACAAAACATTAAAAATGATTTACCAATATAGCCTTCTTCCTATTTTTTCCTTTTTATTATATTGTTACAGTATAAATCTTGATGCATTATATTGTTTCAATACAATGATATTTGTACAGTATTAATTAAAGTTATTAACATTCTATTGTTTAAATAACTTGCAGTATTGGAAAAGAGAGAAAAAAGAAAGATATATTCTATCAATATTAGTTATAATTTTCAATATCGATATCACAAGCATAAAATTATCTGACTTTTTCATACAAAATTGATAACATTAGAAAGAAGAAACTGCTGCAGATTACCTCAAAATGTTTGTTACACAATACAGGTTTTGGTCTTAAGCTGATTGCTTAATATTGAAGTCTCTATCTATATTTATCTATCTGTCTATCTCTATCTCTATATTGTTAATAAAAGGAAGAAAAACAGGTAAGTAGATCATATTTTATAAAAATTAAAATACGAAACAATCGTTAAAAAGAAAGAAAAAGGAAAAAAAATATCTATTGGGTTTTTAACTTTCCCCCTTTTGTACATCTGCTAATTTGCTGTACTATAGACATTTAAGCCTCCTTAAAAGCCAGACTGTAAGTGATTATATTTGCCAGGCTGCGTGATGCATTGTTTGTATGGAAACCATTCTTGTTGGTTAGACTTCTGTTGTGCACATATACTGTTAGTTTTCCATTGCTGCATGTTCCCAATCAGATGTTGCTGGAATTTTAACTGTCCGACTGACTCATGTTATTTATGAAATTACAAATAACCATCTCTTGGGAATGTTCTATATTTGTGATGACATATATTTTCAATCATGTTCTACAAGAGGAGTGTTATTTTCCTAGGTTCTGCTGAACTGGCGCCATCCTGGGCTTGATCACAGCGCCAAGAATTTGAAGAGCTTCAGAGTATTACTCTCCTCAGCTGCTTTCAACAGCTGACGCTCTGATATAGAGGCACTGCATGGACCAGTGAAATGTGATCATCCAACACTTGTTCAACAGAAATTCCAGAACTTGTTAAAAGTATACACTGTCTATGTGAAATGCATTAACTGTACAAAAAACTAAAGGCAACCTGATTGAAAAAAAGTAACATGAATATCTATAGTTAACGAAGTACAAAACTAGGTATATAAATTCAGAACTAGATAAAGTGATATTCATAGGATTACAGCTCTTTATTTAAAACAAGATCTGTGATTTGCCTTCATAAGAATACATTCCATAAAAATTCTGATATTACTGATCATAGTGTGATTATTACAGTTTAGAAACCAAAGATCCCAAGCATATGTTTATGTGATAACACAAAAAAGGTGTTAGGGCTTATTTGTTTGAGAGAATCAATGTTGGGAAAAAAGCTTATGCAGATCAGGTAGTTCTTACACACACAGCTACTCTTTTTACCATTTTCAGCAAATACAGCCTTTCTAAATCATGAAGATGTTGTCGTATGTGTATGTGTCAAATTGAAAGGAAAGGAGTTTTCCCAGAATTTTGGTCTATTTACATCAGAAGTGAAGATTTGTTATTACGTTTCCTGACATTTCTATTTTTAGCAAAGGATGGTGTCAGGATGCTCCCAAGGTACCTATATGTTTTCAGCAGTGGCAGAATTTGGGAAAAGAATAGATCTGTTAGATTTCCTGCTTTCAGCATATGCAGCAGACTTTTACTCTCATACAAAATATCTGCTTTAGTTCAGAGATCAAACAGGCATGGTAAAGATCTGAAACATCTGCTTCACCTTAACCTACTTTTGATTCTTTCCAACCCAATAGAAAGTTGGGAAACAATTACACAAAATGATTTGGATTTGTGTGTCCATTTGCCTATCATCAAGATCACTCCCTGAATACTATATATAACATGAGCAATTGGTGTGAGCAGAGAAACTATCAAAATAAAGACTGAACTTGAAAATTCATTCATTCATTCATTCATTCATTCATTCATTCATTCATTCATTCATCAAATTTGTTTGGCCACCCATCTCACAAAAAGCGACTCTGGCTGGCGTACAACAATGTGATAAAACAACGCATATATAAAACGATCTGTATAAAAATATGAGAATCAATATTAAAATATAAATAATATAAAAACAAAATATACAAACCGTAGGCAAAGAAAGAATAAGAACAGCCACCTCAGCAATAGAGCCATCTAAGCAAGTCTCCGGTTCCCTGGGAGCCCCAGGCCTGGTGATAACCAGGTCTTGAGGGACTTCCAAAATGTCAAAAGGGATGCAGCTAATCTCACTATGGACTGGATCAAGCTGAAAGTTGGCAAAAAAATAATTTTCCCAAGGCAGCCCAATTGGAGAGGCAGTTGGGCAGAGGCTAAGAATGTGCCAACTCCTCTGTTCTTAGCCTCCTCTCTGTTTTCTCCTCTATCACATGAGCCAGAGTGGAACTTTTATTAAGGGACTGGAAGTAATTCCAAAAGCATCCTTTGCATGCTTTCCCTATTTTGTTATAGTCCTAACAAGACTACTCCTTCTCTTTTTCCTTTTAACTGCTTATTTACATTTTTTTTTAATTTTTGCCACTTTGGCAAAATAATATACAATCTATATTGGAATTGAAATGTTGTTTTACATTCAGCCAGTCAGATAACATTGCATAAGCTGATATGAGCCAGCAGCTGTTCTGAGTTTTTAAAATCTTTGTACTACTTATTTATAAATAAAATTATTTATACATAGATACTTCTATAAATAAAGCAATATAGTATGCGGTAATCTACATAAAGATCTGGGAAGGACATCCCCTGAAGCGTTAGATGCTGAGTAGACCTGTACGGAGCCTGTATTGGACTGTATTGCTAATTAATACACTGAATGACAGCTTTTGATATCTGCTGGTTTCTATTATACAGCAGTCTCACCTGCATTCCAGTTGTCCTGTTATTGTGTTGTTTCATTTTAAAACCCCTTATTTTTAAGAAAAGAAAATACATTTGTTTTGACAAGAAGTAGGGAGTTAGGCTCACGCAGTGAACAAGAAAATAAATTTGAGGTGGACAATAAAGACACATTTTAAAATAATGGTGAGCCTCATTAATAATGCCTGTTTAGGTATTATAGATTATGTATATAAAATCCTTTATTTTTTTACTCTCTATTGAGGATTCCAATTATTTTTACTTACATATTTATTAGTTAGATATGTATTCTGCCTTTTCTCTAGAAACAAAATGTGGCCTGCATAGCATTCCCATCTTTAATTTTATCCCTGTGAGTGAGGCAGGGTGGGTTGAATAAGTCACTTCAATTAGTGAGTGGGCTTCCATAACTGCGGAGGGACATGAATCTGGGCCTTTGCAATCCTAATCTAACACCTTAACCCCTACACCACATTGGCTGAATTTCTGCATTAAAAAAAGCCTAAAAGAATGGTGTACCAGAATTAAATTGGATATGACACAAGACAAAGGTAAGCAACTAGTTCCCTTCAGAAGTTTGGGACCAAGGGCTATATTGACGTGGGACTTGAGAATCAGGTTGCCCACCTTTGACATAAGAGACCTTTAACAAGATCTCCTGGCAACATTTTAATTGGTATAAGCATCTGCTGTAAGGAAAGGGTACAGCCCTGTGGTACTGGGGATATTAACTCTAGAAACACTATACAGTTCAGTATAAAACCACACCAAATGCAACTGTCAGCCAACAAGAAAAGCCCAGAATAACATGGGTATCAACTTTTTTTATTGCTTGTAACCAGTAACAATTGTGGAGCTGGTGGAGATGGGGAGGGCATTTTAAGTTTGCAGGGGGAATCTCCAAAAATCATTGCAGAACTATATTTTTACTGCTGAATGGATTGTTTTTTGTTAGGAAAAGTATGGAAATAGTAAGAAGAAAATAGCATAGATTTTAAAAAGCACTATCATTCAGATTCCTACAAAATTTCATGATTCTATCCTTAATTTATACAAGACAATTTTAGTCAGCAGGAGTGTTCTTTTCAACAAGGTAGCTCTCCTCAGAATTATCAGAAGTTCAGCTAGCATGCTATGATTCTCCTCATTTCATTTTTGCTCTGAAATGCCCATGTGATGGGTATGATGGTGGCTCCCTTATTTTTAACATCCTTTTATTCTCTGTTCTGTTTTGATTTTTATATTTTTAAGGTATTAATTTATTGTTTTTAGTCTTTGTTGTATTGCTGCCCTAGAGTCGCCTGTGGTGAGATGGGCGGCTATATAAATTGGTTTAAGAAATACATACATAAATAAATAAATAATGATCATGTTGCGTGTATTTTGCTCATGTATCTGGAAAAATGAATCTGGTGTTTTTGAATTTCCTGTATTAAATGATACTTTAATCATAATTGAAAATATAATTATAATTAATGATAATCAGAACTGGAAGTAATAATGGTATGGAATGTGTTTCTACTAGAGAAGAAAGAATAACACTGAAATCCCTCAGTCACTGGCACCAGCCACACCACTGTCTCTTACTTCATCATTACTGCATCTTACCTCGAACAAAAACGTAAGCACTGTATTCCTCATAATAGTCTCCCATTGTCACACGAAGGGTATAAAGGCCTTCATCTTCTTTATTAGCATGAGTTAGGGTCAATGAGGCTCTTTCTCCACTCCAATGCATCTGAACCCATTTTGATGGAGAAATCAAAACTCCTAAAAATAAAAAAGATGCCCTGAACAAAGACCACACACAAATGGAGCTGTTCAAGCTTAAACTTCCTTTACCAAGGCAACACCCAATATTTCTTTCATAATGATCCCTTTGATTCAGTTTAACTCATTTGAAGCCACCTTTTTCAAAACATTGCACAAGATTCTGTAAGTCTTTTTAGTTTTCCGTCCAACCTTCCATATATGGAAGAGCCCAGTCAATAATGTGTTTGCTTAGGAGAATGAAAGTAATCTACCATTGCATCATATATGACATTAAAAATGCACATTTACTTCATATATGAGTGTCAACTGGTTTAATAATTGTGGCTTGGCCTTAAGAAATTCATTCCACTGCCAAGTCTTCATATTGATTTCAGGGCCTTCCCAAAATGTTTCCATCCCCAAGGCAAAGAAAAGCTATCCCCAGTTTCATTCAACTTATTAAAGATGTTGTTGTTGTTTAGTCGTTAAGTCGTGTCCGACTCTTCGTGACCCCATGAACCATATTGCGCCAGGCCTTCCTGTCCTTCACTGCCTCCCTGAGTTTGCTCAGTTTCATGCTCATTGCT